AAAAATCATTATAGAAATGAAAACTAAACTAGAATGTAAGAGCAAATAGACCCAACAGAAAATGGCTTAAGAAAATAGGCGAGGGGCTGGCCAGGTAGCTAGCTATCTTGGGACAGGCATGTTGCTGGTAACACCAAGGTCACGGTTTGGATCCTTGTTTTAGCCAGCCACCAAAAAAAAAAAAGAAAGAAAGAAAGAAAAATAGATGAAAGGAAGAATATTTAAACATTAAAAAGATGAAGAGATAAAAAGTATTAAAAGAAAGTGGCAAATATTGAAGACGACTCATCATATGGATAATTGGAGTTCTTGAAGAAGAAAACCAAAGCAAGGGAACAGGGCAAATACTAACCTTTCCTGAAATACGAAAAATTTGAAAACACATGTAAAACAATAGAACACTGTGAACCTGAGAATATTAACCCAGAATAACCAACACCAAAGTATAGTCTAGTAAAACTACTTAGAAAAAAATCCTTTGAGCATCTATGCAAAGATCATGTGACTTATATGTGGAGAGTCAAGTTATCATCAGACTTTGATAGCAATGCTTTATGCCAGAAAAAAATGAAGTCACATATTTCAGAATAATTAAGATACCCATGGGAAGAAAATATGAGCCAAGGATTTCATACCCACCAGAGGAGACTTTCAAGCATAAAGGGCACACTATTATTACCACTATGCAAGAACTCAGACTACTCCTCTCATGAGCCTTTCCTGAGGCATGTGATAGAGAATGAGTTTCAGACATCCAAAATGACTAGAGGGTCACAGATCTAAGGACCTGTGGCGAGCAGTAATTACATTTACTTATATAAGAAAGACTACAGGTCAAGGCTAAAAAGAGGACACTACACTATGTAATGGTTATAAGCTGACAGTGCAGACATAGCACAACTATTTAAAAAAAGAGAGAGTGGGGATAGCATATAAAAATCATATATGGTGGTAGCAGTATTAGTATTATTATTCAGATACTCCTGTGTGTATGTGAAAGTGGGATAAAGTCAGTGAGCAAATATAGGATATTCTAATTCTATGACGTATCCTTCAGAATGAGCTGTCACAGTGTGGAAGAAAGGATACAGATGTAATAAAGAAGAGTTTAAATAAAAACTCTGCAGTCCACAATTTCATTAGATATATCAATGTGAGTTCATATATATGTAGGTTTCCCCCTGAGATCTGTCCACTGAAAAAGTTCAACCTAGTAACAATGAAAAACCTAGTAGCAAAGACCATCTCTAGTGTACAGATTGTGGTCTCAAAATATCATTTCCCACTAAAAGAAACCAGAGCTTTTGGAGAAATGGCTGATTCCAGATTGAAGGCAGGAAAAAATCAAGATGAGTAACATCTTACTACAGCAGACAGCAAAGCAGCTCTCAAAGACTACTATGGTCATGTCAACAGGACTTAGAAGTCAAACAAAGAGGTGCTCATGGGCAAACATAGGACGTTCTCAGTTTTTAATAAGGTTAAGAATTACAGTCATTTGAAACCTATCAAATATGCTTAAATTCATGAGTCCATTATAATGTTAAAAAACAAAAGTATGGATCACTTTTAGAAGACGACCATAAACCAATTAACTATCTTGAAAATGGGTAAAAGGGGGCAAAAAAAAAAAAAAAAATCAAGATTAGTCCTTTTATCCTGCTTTTCCTATGCCACCAAAAAAAAGGATATTTTGTGCCTCCCAATGAAAGAACACAAGAACACAGCCTGCCAAAGGGATCAAGTCTGAATAATTAAGCCTCTGAATACAGCTTCAAATCTGAAGGAAAAAGAAGATGGAAGAACAGAACTGCTGTATGAATAAAACCCAAACTGTACGAAACTACAAGTTAAAAAGCTCAGATTGTTCAGAGATAAACTGTATGGAAAAGGGGACTGGGGGTGGGGGACTGTAAATTAAGAATCTTAGACAGCATGTCAAAAAACATGAGCAAGCCTAAACTATAAGCATCTAGGAATAGGCACTTGGGCCCTAAAACCATAAAGTGGCATAAGGAAGTGATGACTAATAAAAGTCAGAATACCTGCTCCTTTTGGAGAGAGGGAGGTGGGACAGTGCACGTTGAGGGGCTTTGAGGGTGTCTGGTTACATTTTATTTCTTGATCTGGGTAGTGGATATAAGGATGTTCACCTGATAATAATTTACTACTGAAAAATATTTGTTTTAGGTAATTTTCTGTATTTGTGCTTTATCTCATGATACAAAAGTGAAAACGGATAGGTAATAGTGTGTAAACCACTCTGAGTGGAGATGAAGAGGGGGCAAAGCTGAATGCAAATTACCCTCATTTATTGCACTTTTCATTAAAGGTCCTCCTTTGAGAGCCTCTTCTGTGTTGGAGCGGAAGAGGATTCTAGGACTGTGAGCCGGGGAGCAATCTTCTGGCAAGGGAGTGCTGCACTCAGTCATATCCCGGAAGATCATCTCCTTCTCTTCCAGCAAGAGCAGGATCTTCTGGTCCTTCTGTTGAAGTTGTTCTGCAGGGTGGATGGAGGAAACAATCTGGGATTTGACTGGTGTTTAGTATTATGAGATGACTAAGACACAAGCGCCACCTTGTGGTAATTCATAGAAAGGGACAAGACAGAACACTACCACTGCCCCCCACCCTCTCTTTGTCATCATGAAGGCACTATCAAGTTTCTGTTTTGTAATTTCCACCTGGAAAACCATTCTGGGTCTTCTTGGCAAACAATGGCAAACAATAAAAAGTCTACCCTTGGTTTCCACTCCCTTACCCCGTTTATTTCTCAACCCACTGCCCACTGGCTTTTGCCCCACAATTCTGCTCTTTCCAAGGTTACCCTCATTACTGAATCCAATGAGCTCTTTTTGTTCCTCTTTTCCGGGAACAATTACTCCCTTCTCTGGAAATTTCCCTCCCGCACTTTGAGGACACTGGTTCTCTTTCTTAGGGCACTTTATAGATCTGCCACCTGCAATGGAGTAACGTATCTGGGTTCCTTCCTCCCTCCATCCTGGGCTGCTGTATCTACTTTACACTTTCCTCTTGGGGATCTCATTTATTCCCATGGCTTCGATTACTTCCTGTATGCTGATAATTCACACATCCTAAATCCTACCCTCTTTTCTGAGCACCAGGCCACTGGCCCCACTGCCAAGTGTCATCTCCACTGAGGTGCCTTGTTCTCAACATTTCAGAAACCAATCTTTTCTCCATCCTTGCCATCCCACCTCCTCCCTTTAGTTTGTGATCTATCCTCAGGCAACAATTCTTCCTCCAGTTTACTCAGTTTGGAAATCTGGGAGCAACTGTCTGCTCACTCTATCCCCCCACCCATATCCAGTTGACCATGTTTTGATGACCCTATTTCTTACTCTTATCTATCCCCTCTCCAGCTCATTTCTCACCTAACCTATCCTCAATCTCCCAATTGGTCTTTCCGTTTCCAGTGGCCCCCCGACTCCCTCAAGCAAGTCTCCCACTGGCTTCAACACACATTAAAAAAACCCATTTTTTAAAAAAAACTATATCATTGCCTTGTTGCCTTTCAAGACCTTGTGCCTCACATCACTTAGCCCTGACCCTCCAGATGTTACCAACCCTGTACTGGGCAGACATATCAAGTCCTTTTTTACTTTTGCACATAACTATTCTTGTCTGGTGAGATTATTTTTTTCAGGAGTAGCTCATGTCTCAGCTTCTCTGTGAGACTTACCACAGGCAGGAAGAGCAGATCCCACACACCTCCTAAGCGTCCACAGTCTAATAAATCACTTTGCGGCCTGTCATTTATTTACACCTCCCTTGCTAGAATGTGAGCTCCCCAAGGGCAAGGGCTCTGTTATAGAAATCTCGGCATCCCTGGCACCTAGCACCATGCCCAGCCAAGTACTTAACAAATGTTAAAAGAAGGAAGATTTTATCCTAGTCATCCTAATCATGGGCCAATAAATTTGATGTAACTCTGGCTCTGGTCTAAATCTGTCCATCCCCCCCCACCCCTGCCTAAAAAACAATGCTATTTGTTTGTACAGCTTGAAAGACTTATATGGGTACTTTTATGTATTTGACTGTAGGCCTTATTTCTACCCAAAGGAGTCTTTACTTTGGCACAATCAATAAGCCACTGGCAAAGAGGGAAGAGCACCAGGCTGTGCTGTTTATAAGACAAAGATTAGAATTCTGGCTCAGCCACTAAATACACGTGACCTTGGGTTGCCTGGCCTTTGGGGTCTTCATCCGTCTCACCTGCACAAGGGGGATTAGAATACCTGTCTTGTAGGGATATTGACAAGACTATATGAAATAGCAGGTACTAAACAAGTAGTGATCACACACAGATCAATAAGTAGCCTTCTCCCAAAACCACTTCACAACTCATTTGTGAACCTATAAATAAGTGATAAAGCTGGGAACTGGCAGGAGGATTAAAACAGATTAATTGGAGTTTCTTTTCCTCAAATACCTCTCTCTCCTTCTTGTTTTTATTTTATTTATTTATTTTTTGTCTTTTGTCTTTTTCCGTGTCCGGCAACGGATCGCAACCCTCAGTGTTGCCCCCGTACCGGACCGGGGACCGGCAACGGGATTGCAACCCTCGGTGTTGCTCCCACGCCTCGCTCAGCCAGTGAGCGGGAACCGGTCTGTATGTGGGATCCGAACCCTCGGGCGGGAGCGCCGCTGCGCTTCCCAAGCGGCGCACTGTAGCAGTGCGCCACCGGGCCGGCCCTCCTTCTTGTTTTTAGATGGGACCATGAATTTTGGCAAATTCTCCTGTGACAAAGTACAAAGAATGTTCCAGTGTCCAAGAACACTGATACTGTGACAAGAGAATTGAATCAACATCCCCTTGATCTAGCATAGAGCACGTTCTCACAGCCTTTCTTCACCAGGACCCATGGTAGCTCAGACTTTCTCTTTTTAATAAAAGAGAAACCATCTTCCTGTTTGCAGGTGCCTGCTGGGATAGCTCTGGAACTGAAGAGTAGCCAGTACCTCTGGAAACCACTAGCAGCCTTCTGCAGCCACAGACAAGGGTCTCAGACCATTCCCAACAGCCTACCTTTTAATTCCCGGGCTTTGGTGTCCAACATTTTCTTTTCTTCCTCAGTCTCACTAGGAATTCCTTCATCTTCATCTCTGTTCCTAATACGACAAAAACAAAACATGACAAAACAAAAAAAATTCCTAAGATTTCAATTACTCTGGTCACTACCCAGTCTCCTATGAAATCACACAGAGGCCTTAGGAGGGACAGGATGGGTGGGACTGGGGTTTAATTACAGGGTGTTGATTGTGTCCTGAATGATCTGCATCCAGCTGTTTCGTTCCTCTCTGGAGCCAGCGTGGACTTCCACCATCTCTGGATCTTTTACCCCCATACTGATCAGGAATAAGCCTTTCTCCTCATGTGCCACTTCTCTTACAATCAGCTTCTTTAAAGAGATCACTGTGGATTTCTGGTCCTGGACAAAGGGGAGAGGGCAAATATTAGGTATGTATACAATATTCTAACTCTTAATGACAACTTAAGGTGTGACCAGATGCTATTTTAAAAGCGTATGGCTTAAAAAAAAAATAGCAGCTTTAGGATAAAAAGAAATATCTTATTATTTCATTCAAATTGTAACAAACAGAAAAAGATTTTCAAAAATAAAATGGTAATTTATGGTTGTAAAGGTTCTAGTCATGTTTTCTACATGATGAGTCCTTCCAGTTCTCCACAAAATCTGGCCTGCAGTGTTATACAAGAGTACCACCTACAGAGTCACATGCGTGAGAAATACTCCAGTAATTGAATTGTCAAACGTCCAAGGCACTCAAAAGGACTGTGAGAGAAGAGAAAAATAATTTGGGGGCTGAGGGCAACAGAAAACTTAAGAGTATGCAAGAAATTATTCAGAGGGATTTGTCCTGAGGCAATTAATCTAAGAGGGTGGGAAAGCAATAGCACAATGTTCACACTTTATACCTAATCTGTTTTAAGTACTAGTAAAACATAATTTTATTCTAAACTGAAGAGAATAACAATTCAGCTTACCAATGATGCAAAGACGTATTTCTGGTCTTTTTCTTGAAGGAAAACTAAAATGTCAGTGAGCAGAACTGCTTGAACCTCTGGAAAGTGGCAATGGGGAAAGAGAAGAGAGAACAATGACTATTAATAGTTAACTACAGTCAAGAGGGTTTTTAACTGAAGGATGGTTCACAATACACCCCATGAGGGTGAACTGTGATCTGAGACCACACCCCTCCCAAGGCATCAGTTTTACAGTTCTTCAAGATTTAGATCTGGTCACTAGATTTTTAGAGGCATTTTTAAATGGGATTATCACCAAAAACTTGTCTCGGAAAAGGTGAAGTACTCAGGCCTGAAAATATATATCCCGTAAGACAAGATTTTAAGAATAAAGTTTAAAAGCTAGACTTCAACAGATGTTAAAAAGCAACCTGATTATCACCAAAAACTTGTCTCGGAAAAGGTGAAGTACTCAGGCCTGAAAATATATATCCCATAAGACAAGATTTTAAGAATAAAGTTTAAAAGCTAGACTTCAACAGATGTTAAAAAGCAACCTATACGGGCCGGCCCGGTGGCGCACTGCTACAGTGCGCCGCTTGGGAGCGCGGTGGCGCTCCCACCGAGGGTTCGGATCCCACATACAGACCGGTTCCCGCTCACTGGCTGAGCGAGGCGCAGGAGCAACGCCGAGGGTTGCAATCCCATTGCCGGTCCCCGGTCCGGTACGGGGGCAACACTGAGGGTTGCGATCCATTGCCGGACACGAAAAAAGACAAAAAGGAAAAAAAAAAAAAAAGAAGAAAGCAACCTATAGCGACATACTCCACGAAATACTCAGGGTGTAATATTTCTCAACTTCTGGTTACAGTAATACGAAAGATGTGGTAAGTAGGAAAGCTGCCTGAAGGTGATGTTCCGAATGTAATGAAAGAGAGACTTCTTTGCACCCCCCAAAAAATAAGAATGGCCCACACAGACACCCTCTGGCCTGACAGGTACATGTGAATACAGGCAGAGGTTCTCCCCCAGCTCCCACATGCAACAGTCAATTTCAACCTCTCTGTACCATGCTAACAGCCTTCTCTACTTCTCCATTAAAATAGGGCTGGCCGATTAGTCACTTGGTTAGAGAGTGGTATTGACCAAGGTCAAGGGTTCGGATCCCTGTACCCACCAGCCGCCAAAATAAAACAAAAACCAATTAACATCTCTAGTAAGATCCAGGAATCAAAAATAAATAAATAAAGCACACAAACTCTTACTCTGACTAATCCTCTAGGAGTACAGAAAGGCATTTCCCGTTATTCCCTTAAGGACAGTTTAAAATCTCTGGAGTGGAGCTGTCTATTGAGAGATAGGCTGGCTCCTAGGTATCATCTTCACTCTGGAAAGTGGAGCCTACAATTCCTTGGGAATTGGGGAGAGCATGGGACTGATGTATGCAGCCCCCTCCTGGCCTTTTTCTTCAACGTCTGCCACAACTGGGATCACTTTTCTGTGGAATTCACTGCAAAGCTATGAAGAAAACAGATGCAAGGATGTCTGATTGCTAGGGAGGTCTAATTTTTCAGCCTAGATTACACTAATTTTCCATGCACTACCAGTAGTTTTGACAAGTTATTTTTCTAAAGTTTACTCTGAAATAATTCAGGTGACTGCCAAAAAAAAAAAGAAAGAAAAGAAAAAAGTTCTAAAACACAAGTTTCAACTTCACTGAATCTTGAAGTTTATATGATCAGTTTCAGTGGATCAGAGAAAAACAATCCCACCTCTTCTGAAGGATACCCAATGTAGTACTGGCTGTTCTTGGTAGGAGCTCACTGGGAGTGACAATGACTAAACACCAACTCCTATCTCCACTGGAAGCACTTCAGGCCAGAAAACCTATCGTTCCGCCATTGGCTTGACCACAACTTTATTCCAACAGCTGAAATCTGTTAGTTTTTACTTTGGGAATGAATAAATAAACTGCTGTGTAAAGGAAGGAATACAATGCTGGCTCCAGGCAGCAGCAGCTCTAGAAAATTCAGGTCCTTCCAAAAGAAGGTAGGTATTTCTGAATTACCAGCCCACTTAAAAGACAGTTGCAAAGAGGCACTGTGAAAAGTCCTGGGCTAGGGCTCTCAGGACATCACAGAATATTAGGGCTGAAAGGAAGTAGCCTTACTTCAAGTTCAAGTTTATCATAGAGCAGTGAAATACACAGCTGGTTGGTGGCAGGAAGGGACAGTTCTTTTCTCTGAAATTCTGCTGCCCTTCTTTTTCAGCCTCCTTCTGCAACGTAGGCCCAGATAAGCTATTCCCTAAAGCACTGTGACAGTCTCCTGATTTCTTTGCCACCACTCTCTCTCCCTCATTCCGGCTGCACTCTAAACAGCCCCGAGTTGTTACACTGAATACCATCTAATTTATCTCTTTCCTGCCTTAAACGCTCCATTTTGATTTTTGTTTGTTTGTTTGTAGCTGGCTGGTTTGGGGACCCAATCCCTTGACCCTGGTGCCTAGTTTTATCAGCGCCGCGTTTGGCTCTATCCAAGTGAGCTAACCGGCCAGCCCAATTTTGAAACCATTCTTTACCGCACCCCCATCAACAGCATCAACTGTCAAGCTCTCAGTCTCGAGCCCATCACACTGGCTCCCACAGTTTCTTCAGGCATGTCTCCCACACTCTTCATCCTAGAGCCCCGTGTGTGCGCCCCCTTTCAGCTCCATGCTTCCACACTTCTTCTCGAGCCCATCACACTGGCTCCCACAGTTTCTTCAGGCATGTCTCCCACACTCTTCATCCCAGAGCCCCGTGTGTGCGCCCCCTTTCAGCTCCATGCTTCCACACTTCCTCTTCCTACTGCCGGGAACACTGTCTCCCCATCTGCTTTCATCCTTCAATACCTAACTCCACTGCAATTCCTCACCCCTTCTCCTCTATCCCAGCACTCATCACAGTGTACAGCAACTACCTCTTTCTGATTCTCTTCATTTTGATCCGAGATTCCAAAAAGGGTGTCCAGCTTCATTCATGCTGAAACCAGCTGATTGCCTGGGACTTCTTTACTATTTTAGTTAAAGACTCTTGGGTACTCTCTGATACAGTTACCTACATCATTACCTATACCTCAGAGATGAAAGAAGCACAGATTTCCTCCAACTTGGTTCCACGATGGTGGGGCCCACAACCCTGGCCACACCTGCTTCTTGTCCTCAGCTCACTGAGGCCAGAGAGAAGGAGGGTGTACCCAAGGCTGTTGGTGAAGTCAGAGCTCAGATACAGGCCCATATAGTATAGGTTTGATGAAAACAATAGCTTCAAATTCCTTTAACATCTCTTGTGAACAAACGACATGTGTTTAATCTCACAGACACTGAACTGTGTCACTGACTGTGTCTCCTGCCTTGTCACTGTTTGCCACAGATCCCCGATCTCAAATTGGCTGCCCATCTCTCAGAGGAGGACACGCCTTCCTTAACAGCTTGCATATTTGTATTAATCTTACCTTTTGCTTTGTTTTTAAAACTCTTATTCCCTTTTTCCCTGACTGCATCATTTCCTTTCCACTTCATATGATTTTGTAAGCTATCTCAAGCTGGTCCTTTTCTGATATAAGAGTAAGAATTAAATGATTGTTGCTCCTGGGTGATGTTTGGATATGGGCTCTCTAGGGAAAACACTGGTGGTGAATTTCCCACAAAAGCACTTGGATTTTGCCTGTTCTCAGATTTATACTTGTACTCGGACAAAACTGAGCCAAACCTTACCTTTTAACCTTCCTGCTGCGCTCTTCAGAAACACACTCCCATCCCTCACAAGCTTCTTCCGTTTCAAATCCTCCTTGGCAAACATCTGACCACTCTTCATCCTCATGATCGACTTGCTGTCTGTCCTCATGTAAATCTCATTGAGACGCACTTTCTTTTCATAACTTGCCACTTTGCTGTCTACAGCTCCAATCACATCCTTCACCAGGCTCAAGGACTGAGCTAGATCTTCCTGCTCCACTTCATTGTCTTAGAAAGAAAGAACAACTGTTTTTAATAGCTCCTTTCAGAAAAGCGAGAAGGGGAGGGAATCCTGCCTCTTTGCCCCACACCATCATTTTCCCTCCATGGTTTTTTACTTATGTTTTTGTTTTCTCTAATCTTTAATGTACAGATTCTGCCTTGTAATCTTTAATGTTATTGCCTAGGACAGGATTAGCCAAGGAGAAACCAGCAAATACAGTCATCCTGTGGTTCCAGGACCCCCCAAGGATATGAAAATCCCTTATATGAGAATATGCCCAAGTTCCTTATATAAAGTATAAGGTAAAGTAAGGCACAGAATTTGCATACAACCTATACACATCCTCTCATATATTTTAATCTCTAGACTATTTATAATTCCTAATATAATGTAAATGCTATATAAATAGTTGTTATACAATACTGCTTTTTTATTTGTATTGTTTTTTATTGTTATATTGTTTTTTGGCTTTTTTTTTTTTGGGAATAACTTTGATCTGCATTTGGTTGAATCCACAAATGTGAAACCACCGCTACAGAGGGCTGACTGTACTGATTAAATGACACACAGAGCAGCCACTGTAGCACTTATGGGAAGAACTGGTAGGAATCACCTCCCAGTATAGTGATAAGAGAAATAAGTTGTTCAGGTCAATGAACTCTGAATGAAATCAATAAGTAGTCCTTTTCCTTTTTGCTATCATACACCCTACGTCTGTTGACATAACATTCTAAGTTTTCAGTCAAGAAAACTTTTCAAGATAAAACAGGATTTCTTTTAGACCTACTAGAGCATGAAACAGCTCTTCTACGGGGTCTCTAGTGCTAATAGACACAAAGAAAACAGTCCATTGGCACACAGGACTGAGTTAAAAAGGACACTCACCTTTGGTACACTGCAATATTCTTTGGAATAAAACTGGGTACTTGGTGATCCGCTGGGTTACAAGCAGTATGCACTCTGGGATTCCAAGCCTCCTTACAACTGAACTGCTCATCTTCTTCTGCAAAGGAGTAAATAAATTGTTAGGAACCATAAGAAGAAGGTGGCTTTAGCTAAAACTGACAGAGATGCACCGCTATTCACAATGATGGGGATTTTCATGTTTCACATCAATACCTTTACGAAGGCTTGGAAACGCTTATCCTTGGTATAAAGGTCTTTGAAGTAGTTTACAGACTGATTGTGCTGCCCACAAAACTTGCCATAAGTCTTTTTTAAGCGTTCTGCATTCTCACCTGAGAACTGCAGAGAAAAGAGAAAAGAAGTTATACCATAACTCAGGATACTAAACTCATATTAACATTTTGTAAAAAGTTTCCAGTCTATCTGTAAAATAAGAATGCTTCCTCATAAATTTTCCCAAAAGATTAAAAGTAGCTTTGGAAAACAATCTGGCAGTTCCTCAAAAAGTTAAACATAGTTGCCATATGACCTAGCAATTCCACTCCTAGATGTATACCCAAGAGAACTAAAAACTTATGTCCACACAAAAACTTGTACACAAATGTTCAAAGTAGCATTATTCATAATAGCTCCAAATGGAAATAACCCAAATACCCATCAGTGGATAAGCAGATAAATAAAATATGGTACATCCATATAATGAAATACTATTTACCCATAAAAAGGAATAAAGTACCCCTACGTGCTACAATTTAGATGAGCCATGAAGGCATTATGCTAAGTGAAAAAAGACATTCACAAAAGACTATGTATTGTTCTATTCAATTTATACAAAAAATTTATCCAGAATAGGCAAATCCATAGAGACAGAAAAGTATATTAGTGCCTGCCTAGGACTGGGGCAGTTTGATATGTGTGGGGGAATGAAGACTGACCATAAATGAGTGTGGGATTTCTTTTTGGGGTGATAAAAATGTTCTAAAACTGACTGTGGTGATGGTTGTGCAACCATGAATATACTAAAAACCATTTAATTGTACAGTTTAAATGGGTGGATTGTATGGTGTTGAATTATACCTTAATAAAGTTGTTATATATACTAAACAAACCAAAAACTTACAGATATCTATTATTGTGCACCTAAGAAATGCAAAATGTGTTCTTAACTTCCATTTGTCATAAAGATAGTAATAAAACAAGGAGACTCACTGGAAGTTTTTCATGAGATATTCAGTCTTAAAATTGTGACCTTGGTAAGTTAGACAGACATCAGAAACAGCCATCATTATCTCAGGATCTGTTTATCCTACTCACTTCAGGCCAGCAGTCCTACAGTTCTGCATGGTTCTTAAATCATTCCCAAATGTGTGCAATCTCAATGGTTTATCTGAAGATATGTTCACTTTGGGGTACATCAATGAGTTTCTGTATGTGGTCCATATGATACATGCTAAGCATGGAAATCAATGCTTAGAAACAGATTGATCCTTGCCAAAAACTTAAATAAAAGCTACTCAGGATAGGTTTTCCTTTCCCCATTTACCAATGGAGAAGCTGAGGCACAGAGATCGTAAGGTATCTGCTCATGCCATAAAGTAGTGCCCTAAAAGGCCGATCCTAGCACTGGCAAACAGAAACAACAAATGGACACCATGGCACTAAGATTTGAATCCTAGCATCACAGATCTTACTAGGGATGGGCACATATATAAGGAGCTACAAATGATAATATAAGTCAAGGTTAGATGAGGTACCTGTGCAGGTCTGAAGGCAGAGGGGAGAGGCAGAAAGAGAGAAATGGAAAGCTTCTGGGAGAGGGAATGTTTGGTGAGGAGAGGTCCTCATTTGCAGGTCTCACTTTTGGGCCCTGACTATCTATTGCAGATCACTGCGTTCAAGCACTTTCCACACTGCATTTGTATTTATGTCACAATATGCCTATTTGTACTCCGAGAATAGGAGTCTCCTGAGGCAGAGGCCCAGGCCATATTCACCTTTGTAGTTCCACCTGGCATTTGGTCGATGCTCAGTAAATACTTGAAGAATAAATGAATGTGCTGATAAACTGATGCAGTGAGGGGTGTGGGCTTAAGAAAACAAGGAAAGGACAAAATCGAATTCTCAGACAAATGTTCTGGCAATTAAGCCTCTGCTTCTTCAGAGAAGTAGAGATTTAGTGGGGGGAAAAGATCTGGTCAGATGTGCACGTATGTCCTTCTGTCTGCTGTGGTTGCACCAATAACGTTTTCCAAGAAAAAAATTTTTAAAAGAAACATTAATAGCTGTCTATGACAAACACATCTGAAAGTATCAAATAATTTTTAGCTGAATTTGTTTGGAGTGGGATTGAAACCATATCACATCTTAATGAAAATTATCAACAACAATATATATTTTAGGAAGTATTTTACAGATAGTCTCCTATTCAATTTTCTATGTGTTAGCTGGTTTTTAGATTAATGAGATCCTTTTGATTTGAGGCACTGGGGAAAGTCGAAGATGTCCAACAGATATTTTTAGATTTCTTAAACTATACTGTTTCTGAGGAAGGTATATATTCTGAGGAAGAAAAACTTTTACTGCATAGCTGCCATATATATTAGGTACTTTATAGATACACTCCCTTTAAGTGTGTAAAACAGCATTAGGAAAGAAACCCTACTGTTCTCATTTTACAGAAGAGGAAATCAAGGCTCACAGCTTACACAGATAATAAATGGTGGAGCCAAGACATGAATGCATGGTTACTGAACCCCAAAGCTTTACTTTTTTCCCTCTTTATGTGAGAACCTGAGATCTTTCTCATTGCGCACCTGATTTACAAGCACATCCCCTATCCTCTTAATGAGAAAGTTCTTGTCAGTTTTGTCCACCAAAGACTCCTTCTTCCGCTCCAGGATCCTCTGAAAGAACTGGCTATGGATACTGATTAGCTCATCCAAACAGGGGAACAGCTTTTCCACCATCTGCTGCTCAAAGAGCAGATCCGTCATCATCCCCCGGCTGTACACATCACTCATGATCTTGAGTGTGCGGATGTGATGTAACTCCGTCTGCATCAACTCTAGAGAAGACAAAGATCAAGGGTCAGAAACACTCTTTACAAGGATTCTCCTTCAAAGATCATCTGCTGTAGTCATAAGGCTAGTTTGGAGCCCAGCTTAAACTTTAAAACTGGGTCAAGAGCTGTCTTGTCTCTAAAAGTGTCCTCATCTTATTCCTCTATTTTTCCATGATCTAACACTATTTTCTGATAATAGGTATAATGGCTTCTATCAATCTTAAATAGTGATTTCCAATGAGGTCTTCACTGGATTCAGCACCTCTCCTAATGGACTGTATTCATAGTTTCTAGAAATGGCTTGTGCTTTAGTCCAATTTCTAGTGTAGCTGAGGAATGAAACTATTTTCACAAGAAATCTCTTTTTAGGACTGCTGTATACATAAGCACTCGTATAAAGAAAATGGTCAATAGAATTAAAAGAAACAGAGTGGGGCAAAAGGGAGAAAAAGATACAAACAAGACCATGTCTCTGTGCCTCCAAGTTTTTTTGAAGAAAAACTTTAAGATGCTACATACTCAAAATGCCAGATGATGCAAACCGGATATAAAGAGGGCAAAATGAAGAATCTCACCATAAATCACTTCTTGCTGTTTGACCACATCTTTCTTCTGTTGTTTCAGAAACTTGCCGTCCACTATCCGACTCCAGGACTCTGCTTCTAGCTGTTTGGAATCAATCTCAAAGTCTCCCATTAGTTGTCCTTCATTCATGTCTGTACCTACTCCTCAAAATATCAAAAAGTCAATATCAGAATCTTGGGTTTGTGACCTCTAAAAAGCCTATACTGGACTTTTCTCAGGGTGATAGTTAATTTCAGAAGACACAAATACACTGCAATAATACAGGGGATATACACAAAGAGCATATTCTGGTACAGGAACTAGAAAGAATCAATGTCCTGTTTGGGAGTGACCCTTTATATTCAAGACTTTGGTTAAGAGTGGTAAGCATCACATAAATCAAACATGATTAAGACATGATTCCTATGTGAAGCAGGAATTGGAAGGATCCTGGTAACTTTACATGTTTACGAGGACAGGCTCACAATTGTGCCAGAGCTAGAACTGGATGTGTACACAAGTCTAGGGTAAGAAACAGCTTATGTACTGGAGTATGCTCATATTAAAATCAAAGACATTCGTCGAGAAATCTGTTAGTT